CTTCCTTCTGCCACTTCCTTCCGCCACTTCCTTCCTTCCATAAATTCTGTACACTTCACACTATTTCAGACTTTACCTCTTTTTCTCTAAATTTTTGCACTGTGTGTTACTAATGGAAACAGTTAAGCATACTGAAGCAGGCACTCAGGTTTTTTTACCAGCTGAGGATGAAAACAGATTTGAACAATCTCCATAGATGCTGTTATTCCCTGTCTGAACCTTGCTGTCATCTGAATATGAATCTTCAAAGCTGAATGTCACTAAATTAATTATAGACAGTATTTTTATGGCTAATAAGCACCTAATTAATTTAAGTATATTAAAGATGGAGATGGTTTTTCATCTATAATATAATTTGTAATGCTTTTTTTAAACTTCCATTGTTATCTCTATTTGTCTGTATCCTAAGCATTCTTGATAGACACTTCTATGTTTCTGAAAAAGAATTGCTCATATGCATTTTTCTCCACTAAATGTTACAGCTTAGCAAAGCAATTAATGTTGATAAACATTAAACATGTTCATAAATACAAACCATGGCTGGATGGCTGGATCCCAAGGGTCATGGTGAATGATGCTACATCCAGTTGTTGGCCATCATTAGTGGGGTTCCCCAAAGTTCACTACTGGGGCCAGTTCTGTTTATATTTCTATTGATGGTTTAGAAGAGGGCAATGAGTGCACCCTCAGTAATTCTGCAGATGACAGTGAGTTGGGCAGAAGTGCTGGTCTGTTGAATGATACAAAAGCTCTGCAGAGAGTTTGGGCCAGGCTGGATCGATGGGCTGAGGCCAGCTGCATGAGGTTAAAAAAAGTGAAGTGATGGGTCCTGCACTTTGGTCACAACAGCCCCATGAAGTGCTACAGCATGGGGAAAGAGTGGCTCAAAAGCAGCCCAGCTGGAAAGAATCTTGGAGTTCTGGTCAACAGCCCCGGTGACCAAGAAGGCAAATGGCACCTGGCCTGGATCAGCTACAGTGTGTGCAGCAGGAGCAGGGCAGAGACTGTCCCCCTGTATTCAGCAAAGGTGAGGCCATACCTCAAATCTTATGTCCACTTTTGAGCCACTCACTGCAAGAAAGGCTTTAAGTGTCTGGAGCATGTCCAGGGAAGGGGTGTGGAGCTGGTGAAAGGTCTAGAGATAGAATCATAATAGAAATTGCAGAATGATCTGGGATTGTTTAGTGAAATGAAGAGGAGGTTCAGGAGAGATCCTATCACTCCAAAACTATCCTAAAGGAGGTTGCAGCCAGGTGGGGGCTGGCATTTTCTCCCAGGCAACCTTTTCTCCCTTGCAACTAAAATTTGTCACAGCCAGCGACCGGACAAGAGGAAATGGCTTCAAGCGGCATCAGGGGAAGTTCAGGTTGGACATCAGGAATAATTTCTTCACTGAAAGGGTAGTTAAGCACTGGAATGGAGTGCCCAGGGAAATGGAGTCACCATCCCTGAAAGCATTCAAGAAACAACTGGATGTGGCACTTTATGCAGTGTTTTAGTTGATGTAGAGCTCCTTGTTGAAATGTTGGACTTGGTTATCTTGGAGATCTTTTCCAACGCAAATGATACTATGATTCTATGATTTTCAATCACATAAATCTTCACCAACACCTAACTACTAAACTTCAGTTCCACTGCTCTATGCTGATATTATGTTGGGCAACTACAAGAGACATTGTAATTGCCCAGGGAAGGGAAAGAATACTTGAAGGAAGTGTTCTCTTGATAGGAACAGTATTTCAGCTATTTTTGAAACTTTAAAGGCAGAATTTTTGACAGAAGCTACTTATTTACTATTATACTAGGTATATGTAACATATACATAATTTCTGGGAGCTGCACTTAAATATTTACTTTAACTCTTAGTGCAGCTTATCCAGCTATATTCAATGTCCATACATGATAAATGACAAGAAACCTTGTGATGTGACATCCCTCTCTTCATGATGGGGGGGTGTCTAAAATTAACCCCATCTTCACTATCACCATCACCAATTCCTTACCATTCCTCAGGTGTGGCTCTGGGATGTGGTTCTGACCAGCTGGAAATGCAGCCTGCACCCCAGTGGAGCAGAGTGGTCAAAAGTGACAGTACTGGTGTGGAAAGCAGCTGCAGGGAACAAAACAGCAGCTGAACCGAGCCAAGAGGAGCAGAGCCCAGAGCAACAGAGTGGCAACACAGTGAGACATGAACAATTTAGCTGTCAGAGGTTTGTCTGTCATTGTTTTCCATTGTCTTGGGCTTAGAGGCAGGGAAAGCCATCTGTGGGAAGCTCCTACTGTCTTGTCTTTGTCTAGGAAAATGCACATGATGCTGGGCACAGGAACAGCTGCCATCTAACCTTTGTGCAGGGAAAGCCACAGGGTGCCCCCTAAGGGGAGTGCCAGAATCTTGTCTTTGTCCTGGTGGACACGCAGAACTGGGTCAAGGTGATGAACACCCTTTGAGGGTAAACACTGTCTTTAGTTGCAAGATGTGGTTGGAGGTGTGTATTCTATTGCCATCTGATAGAGGTGGGGCAGTTATCTTCTGTTAATTGGGCCACCTTTTAAAAGCAGGTGGGGCAGTTTCCTTTATCTCTTCCACAACCAATCCTCCCTCTGGGAAATATCTTCTGTTAATGGGCCATTGAGTTTCCCTGCATGGCTGATAAAATTACCTCATCCCATTGTGAGATGCTCCACCCAGGGGGAGGAGCCAGGCATTCCTACCTGGATATAAACTGAGATTTGAACACCACAGACAGCCTTTTCCACTGGATTCCCAGAGGAGGACCAGGCCCATCTACATCACCACTGGACCTTCAGAAGAAAACTACACCCTTGTACAGGATCACTGCCTCAGTAAAACCATACCTGACACTCCAGGAGGACTGCAACCACCGTTTCAATGGGACTGTTACCAATATCCTGACCCCAAGGGTGTCAAGTTATATTCTGACTCTATCGGTGTTGTTTTGTTGTTTTGTATTACTTTATTTTTATTTTTATCTTTTTTTTTTCTTTTTTTTTTTTTCTATTAAGAACTGTTATTCCTACTCCCATATCTTTGCCTGAGAGCCCCTTAATTTCAAAATTATAATAATTCAGAGAGGGTTTACATTTTTCATTCCAAGAGAGGCTCCTGCCTTTCTTAGCAGACATTGTCTTTTCAAACCAAGACAAGCACCTCTTTATTTGTTATTAATATTGCTGCTATTACTGTGCATTTCTTATTCCACTGCTGTTTGTTTTCAGTAAACTGTTATCTCAACCAATGGTCTCTGCCTTTGCCCCTCTCTTGCCAAAGGCGGTGGTGGGAAGAGGAGTGGTTTGTTTTTAGGTCTATTTTCTGACTGGCAGAAAACCACCATTGTAGTTTAAAGCAGATTACATGGTCCTATATACCTCTGGATTAAATAAAAATTCATGTAAAAAAAGCCATGAATACAGGTTGAGATGATAAACATAAAAGTATGTCTGAGTAGCTAAATTCAGCATTTATCTCTACTTGCTGGAAACTGCAACATCAGATAATTAAGGTTTTCTTTATATAAGCAGAAGAAATTAATTATGGTATTTTAAATAACATAATGGAATAATTGACAAAACTGTTTTCATTTTCATGGCTACTGTTACACACTTACCAGAAAATATTAATCCAAATATAACTAAAAATTCTCCCAAATGAGCTTAAGTTGTAGGTTTTTGTGGTTTTCTTTTAAAGAAAACTGTCATCATTAGAAAAACCATGTTGAATATGCTATTGGACAAACAATGTGATATGAAATGTTTCACAGGTTATATAAAGAGCTCATAGAACAATGGTTTTATAAACGCATTATTTAGTAAAAATCTCCTTCAGCACACACAAGCCAGACATCAATCTGTGCTCCCCCTCCCTCTATCCAAGACAAAAAACCAAAACCAAACAACCAAAAAAACCCCATTAAAAAAAAAAGGCAGACAGTAAACCTTTCCAATTGCTGATAAAACAATTTCCACATTGTCCTTGCATCACTGTGCTAGCTGCATTGTGCATTCCTTTTCTAGCCACTCAGTTGCTCTACATTTTGCTTTTTGACTCTTTCTATCATGTATTAGTAGCAAGACCACGTTTATAGTTACCCAGATAGAGAGGAATACTGTAAAGGGCTGGAAAAATATCTCTGTGTAAACCATATTAAAGATGCAAAAAGAAGCTGAAACCTGTTGCAGAAAGCAGAAGCAGAGTCCAGTTTCTGGTGATAAAACTTGATGAATCAGAAGGTTAAATGTTTTGGAAGACATCTGGTACCCAGCCTCTATTATCAGGTTTAGCCAGATGTAATTCTAAAGGATGTATGCAAAAATGCTGAAATTTCACCTTCTGTTTTTTCTTGATTTCTACTTTACATCAAATAGCAAATTTTTTTTTTACAGAATAAAAGTCAATTCAGTTAAATCACCTAATGAAATCTACATAAAATTAAATCTGAATGTAAAAAAAAAAATTCTTTTTTACTCTGGGATAGTGATTCCAAGAGTAAAACCAGAATCAGAGAAAGGAACAGCTGACATTCATCCAGTCCCAACCACCTTATAAATTTTAGATTTTGTTATAAATGACTAAATTTATACAAAAGCAAGTTTAAAATGTTCAAGACATTCAATAGCAATTTCCAGTCAGGCATAAAAACCTTCAGGGAAGGGAATGCCAGGAGAAGAAAAAAAAAGAACACAGTCAGAAAAATTTTCTTTGGCATTAAAGTCTAACTATTAAGAGCCTTGTTTCATGTTTGGTCAATTAAAATGCAGTATATTAAAATATAGTACCTTATAACACATGCATAGAGCCCGCTGTCTTGTACCACTGTTGGTCTGAACCAAATGGAGTCTTCTTCCTTGCTCATTCTGGTTCCATCAAAAGCTATAGGTTCCTCAAAATCTCCAGGTCCAGAGCTTTTGTACCACATCAAACTAAGTCCAGCACTTTGGGCTAGGGAGTAATTAGCTCTAATATATCCATAAAAGAGTGCACATTTTATACGAACAGGTTCTCCCACTAGAACTTGATATTTCTTGTAATCCACAGACCAGTCAGTGCATCCATCAGCTACAAGAGAAGAGAAAATGACAAGAGATTGTCAAAGGCTTTGGAAAGCACTATTCACAAAGCAGTCTTTATTGTGGGAAAGTATTGTATATGAAAAAAAAAGTCCATTGAGGGACTAGCAGTGTGCTTTTTGTCCCTGAAAAATTAACTCCATTTTCATGATGCTTATGCCTTGTACTTGTCTATAGTGGACAGAGCTATCAGGACATATATCACTAAATGTTGATAATCTCTGAGCAGGAACTGAACAATTGCTCTTTTATCTTTTGTGGAACTCCAGCATGACCAGTAATAAAATGCTGAAGTGAAATTAGTGCAACACATAGGGCATGTGGTTCACAGTGTGTCACCATCTAAATTGCATCACTCAAATATCTTCAGTGTTACCATGTAAGTGAAAGCCTCAGAAGATATTAGGACAAGGAGTTGTGGTCTGAACCAAATTGTATGAAAGTTTGGGATAGATTTGAAGGAAGAAAAAAAGCTGGCTTTACCATAAGACCAGATGCACAAAAAGGTACTTTTAGGAAAATTACTGTCGGTAATATAAATGGTTTATTCAAAAACATGTTAAACAATCTTAGTTGGAATTCCTGAATTTCCAGAACTACATTACAAATTAGGGTTATTAATATTTTCTTTTTTTTTTCCAGTTGAATAACATCATCCCTTACCAATACTGTCCCACAATAACTGCTTATCAGAAAGCAAAGCTAAATTTATTTGACATGCCAAACCCCGGTAACATAATGAAACCCCAAGGCCAAAAAAAACCCACCAAACTCACACCCTCATCCCCTGTATTTTTAGTCAAGAATACCAAAACAATAAAAGGAAAAGAGCTATTTTCTACAATTCCTTCCTTAACAAAAGCTTGTATTTTTTAAAGCAATTTCAACCATGAAAATTCACCATTAGGTTCATACACTAAAAAACTCAGAGTCCAGTCTCAGCTAGTTAACCAGGCCCCAGTCCAGTCAGTAGAAAGCAATCAGTGCATCCAAAGGACAACTTATTTCTTCTCAATACTATGTCTCATATAAATATTTTGTTTCTGAATTTGACACTTTATTAACTTTTGAAAGAGCTGAGATAGCTAGATAGCCATCTTAGAAAATCAACTTTTGAAAAACTCTATTTTCATCCTGGAATTGTTCTGACTTTAACAGAGAATTCTAGCTACCGTGCAAGGTAAAGCAGTATTTGCACTTAAAACCTAGACAATATTCTGCTCTGCTGCTTGGGAGAAAAATATACTATATAGTGAGTTTTTGAGTTCTGTATTTGGGTAATGCCACAGTACTTATTATATATTGCAAAATAAGAAAGACTCAGACATTTTCACACATCCCTGTGTAAGCAATACCCTAAGTTGATCCAACATAGAAAGTTGGGGCAACAGTGAGTGAATTGAGTGAGTGAAAATTTAGAGTGAATTTGCATTGTGAACAGAATTCACACAGACAGATATTTCATATATCTTTGGACCATCTCTTCCTGCATTAACTTTTATGACCAGGAAGGGAAAATAATATGTCCCTGTTCCAATTTGCCTACACAACAGTTCCTAAAGATTAGTAAGTGTTGTTATAAGGCCCTAATAAGACTTTTACCCATGCATAAATTGAAGTGAATGGAAACAAAGCTACACTATTAGCTTCCCCTTAGGACCAAAGAAATTAACTTTCATGTAGTCCAGGATCCAATTGCATCTTTTCGCATTTCATTTTTACCTCTCTGAAAGAGCATTCTCTCTCCCCTGATTTTATTTCTCTCTGCTTCTAAATCCCAATGCCAAAAATGAATTAACAGTCAGCTCTAAGCAGTGTTAATTTCATTATATAAGTTACCAGGTAATAACTTCTTCATTATACTTTATCATCCGATTGTAATCTTGCTTTTCACTGCTTAATTTAGCTAGTACAGGATGGTTTACATTATTAGTTTGTAAGTTATGTCTTCCCTCTCAGGATATTCAGTTCTAATTGTTCCCAGTTCCTTTAATTTGCAGAATCCATGAGAATATACTGCTGAACAACACCATCTCGAGTTCTGTGTATTGGAGTAAGGATTAAATATGCAGGATGGATGACACTGGCTTTGTTTCAGCATATTTTTCATAAGGGACCTGGGGGTCCTGGTTGGTGGCAAGATGAGCCTGAGCCAGCAGGGCCCTGGCAGCCAGGAGGGACATCCCTGTCCTGGGGGCATCAGGGACAGCATGGCCAGCCAGGCAAGGGAGGGAATTGTCCTGCTCTGCTCTGGGGGAGCCTCACCTCGAGTATTGGGGACAGTTTTGGGTGCCACAATACAGAAAAGACATTCAGCTGTAAGAGAATATCCAAAGGAGGGCCGTGAGGATGGTGACAGGACTGGAGGGGAGACTGTATGAGGTCACTTGTCTGGCTTGGCCTGGAGAAGAGAACAAGGGGTTCATCATTGGGGTCTTCAACATCCTCATGAAGGGGAACAGAAGGGCAGGTGCCAATTTCTTCACTCTCATGACCCATGACAGGACTTGAGGCATGAAGTTCTGTCAGTGGAGTTTAGGTTTTATATCAGAAACTGCTTTTCAGCCGGTGGCTGGGCACTGGAACAGGCTCCCCAGAAAAGCAGTCACAGTACCAAGCACCACAGAGTTCAAGAAGTGTTTGGACAGTGTTCTCAGGCACATGGTGTGATTCTTGGGATGTCCTGTGCAGAGCCAGGAGTTGGACTCCATGATTTGGTAGGTGCCTTCTAACTCAGCATATTCTATGATTCTAGAAAAGACTTCTAGGGATCATCTGAATTATCTGTATATTCATGGAACTATTTGTTCATTTTTTTTGTCACAAACCATATCAAAATGTCCCACCAGATATTTTAAGAGAATGTCTACTTGCCCTGGATTCAGCTGGGAGGGAGTTAATTTATTTTGGGCAGCTGTTACAAGTGCTTTGTTTTGGATTCAGAACTAATGAGCCCACATCTGGAGTGCTGTGTCCAGCTCTGGGCTCCTGAATACAAATGATATGTACAGACTGCAGCATCCAGCAAAGGCCCACAAAGCTGATTAAGGGACTGCAGCATCCCTGCTGTGAGCACAGGCTGAGAGCTGAGACTGTTCTGCTTGGAGAAGGCTTAGGGGGGATCTTAGTAATGAGTACAAAAACCTGAAGGGAAGGTGCAAAGAGCCAGGCTCTTTCCACTGGTGGCCAGTAATAGGACAAGGGGCAATGGGCACATATTGAAACACAGCAGGCTCCTTCTGAACACCAGGAAATATTTTTTTTCTGTAAGGTATACTGAAAATTCAGACAGGAGGTTGTGAACCCTCAATTCTTGGAGATATTTAGAAGCCAGAGAGACATGGTGCTGAAAAACCATTTCTGGTTGGACGGTATGACCTACAGAGGTGTCTTCAACCTCAATCATTCTGTAATTCTGTGCTTTATTACAGTTACACTCAGTGATAACCTAAAAGAAACATATGTCCTCTTCTCAAAGTGGTCTTTGAATGAAGTGAAACATGAGAGTGTTTCTCTTCCTGCTTTCAGAAATATTACACCACTTAAACTGCCAACACTGACATTCAAGTCACTTAGAACTGTGTTAACCTTATTACAGCTGGAAGGCTTAATACCTTAAAAATCTTCCAGGAAAATCCTCACACTCAGCCAATGTGCTAATCTACGTGAAGGTGCTAATTCAATTTTGTCAGATATAATAGAAAATCATCATTGCCATCATAAGGCACACTGTGATATTTTCTGATAGCTGATATTTCAGGAGATAACTGTCGATCTCTGCATAAAATGCTCCCAGTTCCACAGTAAGAGAAACATAAACAGAAGCTTAAAACCACATCATGAAAGGGAAAACAGACTGTCATGTCCTTAAAAATAATACTGTGGCCATTCAGATGATGATAGCATGCATGCACCATAGCCAGCCCTTTCTGCATGTGGTGTGTAGAGCACTCATGCCTTCAGTTTAGAAAAACTTGGATGCATCAAAAACTAACTAAAAGCCCAATTTCTAGATTCCTTGAGGAACATAAAGATACATTTTAAAAGACCCAAACATATATAACATATATTCAGAGAATTCTTTTGATTTTTGTATTGACATTTGTGTCAGTAGTAGCCATAATTAGGAGAAGAAACATTAGACAATTTATTTGATCAATGCCCTACTTTTGCACAAAAAAAAAAACAAAAACAAAAACAGTCAAGGTAGAAATGGACACGGTTACAATATGACACTGACTAGAAATATTCAATCTATTTAGTATTAAAATATCTGACTGAATATTAAACTTTTGTTGTTTTCTGTCCCTACTTACAAAGCCAGTAGCACACATTTAACATGTAAATATGTGACTGTGTCCATTTCTACCTTGGATTTTTTTTTTTGTTTGTGCAAAAGCAGGGCATTGACCAAATAAATTGTTTAATGTTTCTTCTCTTAATTATGGCTGCTACTGACACAAAATCTACACCTTCAATTACAGTGATTCAAAACAACCATGGGGAAAAAAATAGACTCCATACTTTTCAATGTTTTTATTTACACCATCACATCATCAAGTCAATCATGTTTTAGAAATTGAAATATACTTGAATAATTCAACAGCTTTGAAATTTCAGAACTGCCTTCAAAAGAATGGTTGTAGTCCCTAATCTCTGTTTTAATATGCTGTCTGTTATTGCTACACATAATAGCACAATACAGAGTCCAGGATAAATATAATCCACTCAGTTATTTCCATGAGTGATTTCAGGGTATGAAATAAACCACACTGCATCACTCCCCTAATAATGAGATCGTTCTGCTCAATACACAAGTGTCTTGCAGTCTGTGTCTGCTGGATAGGAACCAACACACAGAATATCTAACATTACTAAAAAGACCTTCCCCTTAATTTTTGGTATCATATGTACCATTTTCAAGGTAAAATTCAGTGCTGGAAAAGACAAAAATATAAAGTCAATAACTCCTGGGTCTGCTGCTGCAGT